TCTGAGCACAAATATGGGGACTATACCACCTTAAAAAAAATAAAAAATTTGCAAACGGCTGAGACCTTCACCATACTGAAAATGAGGCGGGACTATTATATGGCAGTTCTAGATTAAAGCCTATATCAAAACAAAGACCTATATTGAATTTGTTCTGAAAATATGTTTTTGCACAAATCATTTTTAGATATTTTCTGTGAAGTTTTCTTCCCACCAAGAACACTGAAGGCCACACTTAGTTGTGCCAAATCCACCTAATATTTGCTTGAGTGCACGCATTAAACAAATGTTCGTAAACATTTTCAGTAGTCATAGCGATTCCTTGTAACTGAAATCTACATAAAAATATATATGCACTCAACATCCCAAATTCTTTAAAATTCATAAAAACTTGACAGAATATACACACGCATACATCCACAGTGACACTGTATGATTTTACACACAAACACATACATGCAATAACAACTCTTCTTACCAAAGAGAATGTCATTTCAGTTCTGTTATTTTACTTTCCCGCCCCCCATAAACATATTGAGAATATTCAATGCTTCGATGCACATGGAAAGTGTGAAGATGTAAATATGTTTATTCCTACGGAGGTTTTTATTACATCGATGCGGGTGGATGGATGCGGTGGATGATGCATCAAATATTTCATAGCTATCCACATGAAGGTGAGAAAAGAAATTTCATTAAAAATTGAGATACGACCACTGTTCCACAGGAGAAATACACGAAGCCTGGAAAACGGGATGAAGTGGAATTGAAGAAAACGAAAAACCATTGAACGAAAAGCCGAAAAATTGAAAACAGAGTGCAATGAAAATAAATTGATATTTTATTAAAGATGGATGGATGGTTGGAAGGATGCCTGGCCACATACATATGGATGGATGCCACGATACATGAATGAATTGCTTTCATCTATCAGCTATTTTATTCATTTTCATATGCTTGACTTCTTGTTTCCATGTAATGACCATGGCTAATGGATGGATGACCATCTAGATATGGCCGATTTTAAATTCAGTTACTTTTGAGGCAAACATTGTTAAAGAAGTTAATCTTAAAAGATGTTGATGCATTATAGTTAATATATGTTGAACACTTATTTGTGTTTACTCCACATGCCCGAACATTATGTTCAAATGTAAGCCAATACACAATTGCCAACCACAACTTATAGGAGAAGCTTAAAAATAAATTATTAAAGGATTCTAAAACAAATATTTTTAAAAATCTACGCTTTCATTGGAACGTTGAAAAAAAACATTTTTAAAAATCTACGCTTTTATTGGAACCTTGAAAAAACATTTATAAAAATCTACGCCTGTATTGGACCTTGAATATTTTCTAAATCCACGCTCATATCGGAACCTTGAAACCCCATTTTTAAAAATCTTGCCTATTTTCGAAACTTGAAAAAACATTTTTAAAAATCCACGCCTATATAGGGACCTTATTTTTCTTGAAATAATATGTTATTTAATGCGACTAAAACTCTTTAAATTATTAGGGTTTTAAAATGAAATTTCTCTAATTGAAAAATTATTCTCTAAAATACCAAAACACAACCACTATGTCAGAAGTTATTCTAATAGAAGACAATCAAGTTTTATTGCAGAAGACCAGAATATGAGCTTATAGAAAACCAGATCTTCCACAACAGCAAACGATATTCTTATAACAAAGTTTTTTGAAAATCACGAAAAGGTCTTTTAAAAGCAGACAAGAAAATCTTCTAATAGAAAATTAGATCTCCCTGATTTTTTAAACCTTTCACCACACTGTGGTACAGGGTATTGTGTCTTTGTGCATATGTTTGTAACAGGCAAAAGGAAACGAGAGAGTATGCATAGAGAGTATGCATAGAATCACTTTCAGAGTCGATTTGTGCATGTCCGTCCGTCTGTAGATGTTAAATTGTAAACAAGGTATGATCGGATGTGGATGAAATTTGGCACAAGTCACTATTGAGATTGAGAAAAATCGGATGAGATTTCGATATAGCTCCCATATATTGTCAGCTAAAATGCAAAAAGGCGTAACTAACAAAAAATTGAAAATTGACTTTTTGAATGAATATTGTGAATGTCAATGAAATACATGTGTTGACATTCAAAAAGTAAAATTTCAATTTTTTTGTTAGTTACGCCTTTTTGCATTTTAGCTAACGATATACTTTCTTCCGATTTAAGGTAAATGAGCCACCAGTCTCTATATATCTTTTGATTTGCACGAAATTTGGCACAGAGTACTGAATTAGGACCAGAATGATGTGTGCCAAGTTTCGAGAAAATCGGTTCAGATTTAGATATAGCTCCCATATATACTTTCTTCCGATTTAAGGTAAATGAGCCACCAACGTCTCTATATAGCTTTCGATTGGCATGAAATTTGGAATAGAGTACTGAATTTAATGCAGAATGATGTGTACCAAGTTTCGAGAAAATCGGTTCAGATTTAGATATAGCTCCAATATATAGATTCGTCCGATTTATGGTAAATGGTGCACCAAAGTCCCTATATATTATTCGATTGACATGAAATTTGGCATAGAGTACTGAATTAAGTCTAGAATGATGTGTGGCACAGAGTACTGAATTAGGTCCAGAATGATGTGTGCCAAGTTTCGAAAAAATTGGTTCAGATTTAGATATGGCTCCGATTTTAGGTAAATGGTGCACCAAAGTCCCCATATATCATTCGATTGGCATGAAATTTGGCATAGTACTCTATGCTCTAGCATTTAATGCAGAATGATGTGTACCAAGTTTCGAGAAAATCAGTTCAGATTTAGATATAGCTCCCATATATAGATTCGTCCGATTTAAGGTAAATTGTGCACCAAAGTCCCTATAGGTCATTCGATGCATGAAATTTGGCATAGAGTACTGAATTTAAAGCAGAATGATGTGTACCAAGTTTCGAGAAAATCGGTTAAGATTAAGATATAGCTCCCATATATAGATTCGTCCGATTTAAGGTAAATCGTGCACTAAAGTCCCTATATATCTTTCGATTTGCACTAAAATGATATATGCCAAGTTTCGTGAAAATCAGTCCAGATTTAGATATAGCTCCCATATATAGTTTCGTCCGATTTTAGGTAAATGGTGCACCAAAGTCCCTATATTCGATTGACATGAAATTTGGCATAGAGTACTGAATTAAGTCTAGAATGATGTGTGGCACAGAGTACTGAATTAGGTCCAGAATGATGTGTGCCAAGTTTCGAGAAAATTGGTTCAGATTTAGATATGGCTCCGATTTTAGGTAAATGGTGCACCAAAGTCCCCATATATCATTCGATTGGCATGAAATTTGGCATAGTACTCTATGCTCTAGCATTTAATGCAGAATGATGTGTACCAAGTTTCGAGAAAATCAGTTCAGATTTAGATATAGCTCCCATATATAGATTCGTCCGATTTAAGGTAAATTGTGCACCAAAGTCCCTATAGGTCATTCGATGCATGAAATTTGGCATAGAGTACTGAATTTAAAGCAGAATGATGTGTACCAAGTTTCGAGAAAATCGGTTCAGATTTAGATATAGCTCCCATATATAGATTCGTCCGATTTAAGGTAAATCGTGCACTAAAGTCCCTATATATCTTTCGATTTGCACTAAAATGATATATGCCAAGTTTCGTGAAAATCAGTCCAGATTTAGATATAGCTCCCATATATAGTTTCGTCCGATTTTAGGTAAATGGTACACCAAAGTCTTTGAAAAGCATTCGATTTGCACGAATTTTGGCATAGCGTATGGAATTAAGTCTAGAAGGATGTGTACACCTCCTATATATATTTTTGTCCGATTTTAAGTAAATAGTGCACTAAAGATCCATAGCTAGGCCGATTGACACATCCTACAGATGTTAATATAAATTAATCGCTGGGAAGTTTCCTTGAAATCGGTTCAGATGTAGATATAGCATAGCTTCCATATATAATTTTGATTTATTCATGTTAATTGTACACCAAATAATCAGTGTGTGTCTGATTGAGATTAAATTTTGAACAGTGCATAGGTTGATGTTAGCCGGTTTATATATATATAAAGATCACAAATTCAGTTCGTTCGTTCAATTTCATGTCAATGTTCCAGGGTAAAGGTGACTTCTTTTAGGATACGTAGAATATACCCGAAGTGGTTAAGGGTATCATATAGTCGGCCCAGTCCGACTTTACTACTTTCCTTGCTGGTTTTTTTTTTAAAGATGCACGTTCAGAATAAAAATTGTCTACTAACACGAAACTGTTATCTTCAAAATACCACACAGAGGTTTTACATGATGGTAAACTATTCTATTCGTTCGATTTAACAGAATCATATAAATTAACTACAATTTTTGTCTGTGTTCATGTATCTTTTTTATAACCAAATATAATATATTTTATTTTCATATTAAATTTAAATACTCAAAATCTCTTTACTCTTTATAGGAAAAATTAAAAAAAATAATAATAATACTTCAACTTACCCAATGTCTGGCTTAAGACCATTTTGCCATCTTCACCAAGGCAGGCATTGCGAGCATCAAAAGGATTTGTAAATTGCACAAATGCATAACCTTTATGCATTGATATTCCTGTCGAGACAGATGCACATACACACACACACACACATCGAGCATAAGGAGACGACAAAACATGAAAAAAGAAAAAAACAAAAAATAAATAAGAAAATGTCAAGAATTACAACCGAAATTTAATTAAATTCTTCTTAGCTAAGCCACATTGGCGTTTAAATAGCATTCCATTCTCTTGACTCTCTCTCTCTCTCTCTTCCTCTATCATTCGTCACATAACTCTGTTCCTTGGCTACTAACCTGCAAGACGTCCATAAATCTGAAACATACGCTCCACATCGGTTTTGGAACACTGAAACGTATTCAAATTGCCCACAAAGATACGCGAATTAACAGCCTGTGGATCCTGGGAGTTGGTTTGGTTAGATAACTTTGACATCTTCATTTTGGCAGGTTGAGTGTGACTGGTGGTGGTGGTGGCTGAACCGACTGCGGATATGTTTGTTATGGCTGTGGTGGGATTGTTGATGTTGGCAGCAACAACTATGGATGTTGTATTGTTGGCGTAGTTAAGCATGAAGAGAACGAGAACGTTAGGTATGGGTTGGCTAGAACGTGGCAAACGGATACGTTCGTGTGCGTGTTTGTTTGGGGATGCGGTAACTTGAAGATGTTTTTGAAATGCAACCAGTTGAATAAGTAGTGAATGATTTTCCTATCACTGTTTGTGTGTAATCAGATACAAGTGGTTGTGGTATGACTTCGAAAGGGGATAATGGCGTTTGGCGTTTTGATATGGGGCGTGTATTGTTCTTTCTATACGGTGGATGTGGATGGATTTTACTTTCGCCTGAAACGGATTATTTCTATGAAATGCTTATTTTATCCTTCAATACCAACATATTCTTTGTATGGCGACTATGCCGTTGTTATTAAAAGGCCTCTATATGTAAATATGTATGTTGACAGATAGCTGACTTTTCCCCTTGCTATTGTAGATGTGATAAAATTCCGATTTTTTTTTTTGTTTGTAGATTATTTCATGTCCTCACTCTAAAGAATAGCCTTCATAATCATAAATAGCCAAGTCTAGGTTTGCATTACTACTTAGCTAGTAATGATATTTTTCTTTTATTTTCCTATTGTTGTTGGGTATTTTTCTTTTGTTTATTTACTGGCCTCCAACTAGATTATTTTTCCATTTGCCTCATCACTATTATTGGTTGATTCGGGGGTTTATTTTGTTTTAGCTGTTTCAGATGTTTGGCCGTCAGTCACTCTGATTTATCATCTTTGTAGGAATAACAACAACAACAACAAGAACCAAAACAGCGTTAAACAATAGAAATGGCAGCTTTATGTGGTTTACTATTTATTTGGCTTTTCGATTGTTGTGATGCCAACGATGATGGTGCGCTTGCTGATCGTTTGAGGAATTCAGCAAATTCTGTCTGTTTCCGGCATTGATAAGACTTGAGAAAATAATCCGTAAATACGCAAAACTGTAATGAAATAATAAACGTGGAACTTTGTTAAAATGGAAATCATTTTTGGGCATATTGTTTAAAGTAATTGTATTTATGAAGGAATTTTTGTCAGTTGATTTATGATGAATAATCGGCTTAGGATTAACAACAAGAAAAACACATATTTACAATTTGTTATATATATCACGATTTTTTATGCCCTCCACCATAGTATGGAGTGTATATAAAGTTTGTTTTTCTGTTTGTAACTTATCGATATAATCATTTTCGACCTTATAAAGTATATATATTCTGGATCTATGACGACATAGCTCCCAATACTAAATTTATACTCTAAAAATTATAAATATAGGTAGGCCCCATACATCCCCAAATTTTCAGTATTTTGGGGGTTTTAATATCATTTGCGACCGAATTGACTATAATTCGGTATTTTATTGGTGGCAATCTCTCCACTAAAAATTATAAATATAGGTCAATTTTTTCAGACTAGCCCCTATTAAGGGTTCCCTCAATGTTCGGTATTTTGGGGCTCTTCAGTGCATTTTTCGACCTTTTCGCTTTTGTGTTTTTTTTTAGTCGTATATAATAAAATTGTTAATATTCGAACCGTTTTAGGGGTAGTCCTAATATTATTCCCCTTTTAATATTAAAATAGTTATGTGATTTATTCCACATTTTGAGTTTGGTTCTAAGACTCATTCTGCCTGCGGAGGATATTGAGATAAAAAAATTAGTAAGGATCGAGGATGAACTATAGCCTCTAGGACTATAGGCCTTGTTCCGATATAATGATACCAACGATTTTCGTTTTTTTTTTTGTGATGCAAAAATGATAGGTTCGAATGTGAGCTATATCTGTTCTCAATTAGACATGGCACCTCATATAATGAGAACAACAAATATTTGGTACATCCTGCACAATGTAATCAATATTGGCTTTATATATAGCCTCCAGAAACGTACGCATACAATTTTTTTTCTACAATGACAATTTTATATGGAACCAGCAGCTTCCACCAAGCCCCCCGAAATTAAACCTGTGTACGATGGTTATGGCATCATATACGTGTGTCCTGTAAATAACAGTTGGGGATTTTATACACATGTTCCATTCAACCATGCGTCGTCAACTTTTTGGGCTTTTAGGAAAAGTCTCCATTAAAAATTGCTGAAATTTGCCTTTGGTGTATATTATATATTGCTTGATGCAATTGTTGGTATAGGTATAATTGGTGTTCCCTATATTTTCATTTGAAAAAAAACTGTCAGTATATCTATGGTGGAGGATATGCAAATTTCGGCCCAGCCGAACTTAAAATGGTTTCACTTGTTTATTCATGTCAACAGTTTACTGGTAATAAAATCAAATTGTAATCCATAATAAAAAAGCCAGGAGCGGACGGGGCCGACCATATGATACCCTACACAACTTCGACGAAAATCTAACTTTCTATGGTTCTATATTCAGAGTTTGGGCAATATTTGCACCCTCTAGACCGACTAGATGCCAACAAATATTTCTAATATTCAGTAGACGAGGGCTGTACCTGTCCAGATTCTCTTTACCGTGGGTTATGTTGTGATGTTGAGCTTTCAATTGTGGCCTGTAGATCGACTTAAAAAAAAAACATAAAAAAAACACAAATTCCACTTCATTCCAATATTATTAACTGATCATCACTGAAAATTATGGAACATTTCAAAGCGCTCTGCGCTATATTTCCGACCTCTAGTGGGGTAATGGGTTAGTACATAATATCTGAATATAAAATCACCTCTAAATATTTAAGTGTAATTCCCGCATCCGAGTACATACGACAATATAATTGGCATCAATTTAAAGTTCAACAACTCCTTTTGGCTCTATGTCCTTCAGGAGTAAATATATACGCTAGAGAATACAAATTTTGTCATTTTTCACACAAAAGTCAGGGTCCAATTGACCCGCTAAATATTGACCGATCTTTATCAAAATTATAAATATCCATATAAAGCCTCTGGAGGGACCAGATAAACCGACAAAAATTTAGTATTTGGTCCATTTCATTCCCTAAATATTAACCGATCTTTACCAAAAACAATAGGGGTCTTTATTGGGCCAAACCCATCCTACATGCAAAATTTCGTGAAAATTGATCCATAACTGTGGCCTGTATCGTGTTAACAAATTATAATGGACAGACGGACACACATGTCTAGATCGACTCAGCTAGTCGAGATATGACGATCGGTATACTTAAAGTTGGGTCTAGAACCAATATTTCGCGGCGTTACAAACTCTTGGGGCTGCACAAAGCTATAATACCCTGACAACCTAGTTGTGTAGGGTATAACAAGTAGTAGATCAAATGTGGCGGTATATCTAAATCTATACGAGTATATGATTAAACTTTTTTTGTAAACATGTAGAATGGATAATGTAAAATTTTAAATTTCAACCATTTTAAATTAAAATTAAATACCCAAAATATACATTTCTAAAACATTGCTATGCTTGTCCCACCAGAAACATAAAAAAATCAATGATAATATCTATGGCATGTCAAAAATTTGACATGCTAAAAGATTATAGTAAACAATTTAAAAATATAACTCTAAAAGATCTACCAACCGCATAACGCATATAAATCTTCAACAAATATTTAATCAAATTCACTCAAATCGCTCAGATATATTTTCAAACAATATAATTAAAAATTCCCATCAAAAGCTCAGAAAAAACTCTCAAATAATATTTAAACATAGTCCACACTCATTCTTTGAGAATGCCTTAACAATTGTTATAAGAAATTCATTCTTCAATAGTTCCTTAAAAAGTAATTTAAAAAATCTTCAGATCAAATTCTCTCCAATAACTGTTATTTATCTTCAAAAACTCTTAAAGACAATAGAAAATCACTCCGAAATGACAATAGAACATCACGGCTATCTCTGTGAATTTCTATATTTTATCTTTTGTTGTATTTTGTACTATACTATTATACGATATTCAAAAATAATTACTTTTTAAAATATATTTAAGTTCTAAAATTAAATGAACGATTTTGAATAAAAAAAGTCTTTGGCATTAACAAGTATTCTCAGAGAATCCATATTTAGATAGTTATGAGAATTAAACACTTCAACACTTTCTTTAAAAGAATTTTTGAAAATTCACTCTTTAATAGTTCCACAAAATTAGTTTTAAAAATTCGTGTTTGGGTGTTCCAAAAACAAAAACTATTTAAAAAATCCACGTTGTGATAATTTATTGTTCTTATAGTTTTTTTTTTTCAAAACTATTTTAAAACATTCTATAACCCAATAGATGCTTAAAAAATATCCTCTCTTCGATTGTTGCACACTTTTATTTTACTTTACACTTTTTATTTTAAATTCGACGCTTTGGTTGTTATAAAAAATTATTTAAAAATCTACTTTTTTCAAAATAGAAAATATTTAAAAAACACTGTCTTTAATTGTACATGAATGTCCACAAATAACACAACATAAAAAATTAACGCTCGTTTTTTCTCAAAAATATTCCAAAATTTATGGTCACACTCTTTTCATAAAAACACATATAGAGATCCAACTTTAACACTATTTCTTAAATTAAAAAATGAAATATCCTTTTCTTCACATGTTAATTTGTTAAAAATATTTTTTCAAATAGCTAGTTCTGATTATCTATATAAATGTGTTCTGTAAACTTCAAATATTTTTTTATTTCTTCAAAACAATTCTATTCGATTTTTTTTTTTTTTTTTTTGAAACAAAAAAAAAATAATTTTAATTTTCTTGCGATTTGTTGATAATAATTACTTTTAGACCATTAAAGAATATTTTTTAACTTCTCCAATCCACATATTTTTCAAGCCATACAGTCTTTTAATAACAAAATGTGTTTGTTGCACTTCAAAATATATATAGCAATTACCATATAAACATCGATTATTATTATTATTTTTCTTGTGTTATTTACAATACGTATTGCAAAACAATAGATACGAATCTATTACGAACTTTTTGTGTTTACCGCACTTTGCACAGGAGCTACGTATGTCCTACACTACCGAATGCTGTTCAATGACTAACTAACAAATCGTAAACAAACAGCAAACAGACAAATTTATAAAAAAAGCTGGAACAGAAAAGTATTTGCCGGCAATAAGAAGGAAGAACAGTAGAAAA